GTCACCACCGTATTACAGAATGGGATATAAATGCACTGGAAAACGTACAAAGGAGGATGACAAAGTTGGTCCCATGTATCAGAATTCTTTCCTGTGAGGATAAACTGAGGGCCCTAAATCTGTACTCTCTCGAAAGGCGTAGAATTAGGGGGGATATGATTGAGGTGTATAAATGAAAAACAGGAATTAATAAAGGGGATGTAAATAGCATGCTAAAAATATCTGACATAGACAGGACTCGCAGCAATGGTTTAAATTGGAAAAATTCAGATTCAGGAAGGATATAAGAAAGCATTGGTTTGGTAATAGAGTTGTGAATGAGTGGAACAAAACCCCAAGTACCGTCATAGACGCTAAGGCATTGTGTAGTTTTAAAAATAGGTTAGATAAATACATGAGTGGGTGTGGGTGGGTGTGAGTTGGACCTGACTAGCTTGTGCTACTGGGTCGGATGCAGTGCTCCTCCTTAAGTGACATGTCTGACCTCACTAGGTCAAGGCATTGGCTTAAGCTGGTGGAAGAGTTGGACCTGCTTCGCATAGGCCAATAGGCCTGTTGCAGTGTTCCTTCTTTCTTATGTTCTTATAACATTTTAACATCATTTTGTCAGTACATGTATATTATCATTTTTCAATGCTTCACACGCATCACTGAACACCTCCGTGCTCCATTAACTTTCTTACCCTGCATCACCTTCAAGTCACAGTTTATCAGTGGTATTTAAAATTTCTTCCCCATAAATTACTGGTTCATAATCAGTCTCTGCATCTTAGCTTTATCAGATGTGTATCACAGTAGGAGTGCCATGAGTATAAGTTTTGAGATAATGAGTATTATAATATTTTTTTTTTTTTAATGAACTGGCTGTATCCCACCAAGGTACGGTGACCTAAAATGAAAAATGAAAGTATTGTTGTTATTATTATTATTATTATTATTATTATTATTTGTATTACTATTATTATTTTTTGTTACTGTATGCATTATTATTTTTGTTTTCAACATATCAACTATCTCCCACTGAGACGGTGACTCGAAAAAGAAGAAAAACTATAAAGCTTTTCATCTTTTTACATTTATTAATTATTGTTGTTATTGACATTGTTACTTAGCACATGTTTTAGGTTCCAGGTGTGATGGCAGTTCTCAGGCAGCATCCCGAGTGTCATCAGGAAGTCTTTCTACTCCTCTTCACCCTGGCCGTTATTTCCAGAGTGGTGGAGGGAGTGGAGGGTCAGGGGGTGCTGGGGGAGGCTGGGGTGGAACAAGTTTAACTGAAGATGTGAATACTCAGTTGGTTATTGTGTTGAGGCGCCTGCAGACAGACATGGAAAGTGTTCTCCACCGCTTAAACACCCTGGAGACCCTCACTGTTACTCAGCACCACACAGTCTGCCGTCACTGTCAGGTGAGTAACACTCCAGATTTTACTTTATTATTCTTAGGAGAGATTTGTTTTTTTTTTTATACCCTTCCTTAACTTCCTAGTATGGGCAAATTTACCAGTATAAAAGTGCATGGGTCAGAAAGGTTCAAAATATTTACCCCTCAATGAAGGGAGGTGTACTTTGAAGGGCTCTTGGTCCAAAAAATTGGGGCTACCCTCAACTTCCTTGGATCAAGCCTCACAGTCCCCAGGTGTTGTATGGCCGCTCTGGCTTTTTAATGCTAGATAGAGGCCTGAATATCCAGTTGGGTTATGTGAGCACTTGAGATTGAAGTAAGTGGAGACTAGTGGTTTTTATGGCTTGATGTACTGTTAGAGTGTGGAAGGTAACATGAGAGGATTCAGAAAAATCTAGTTAGTGAACCTGAGTCTTGGAGGTGGAAAATACAATGCCTGCACTCTGAAAGATGAATGAGGATCAGAGATGAGATGATACCAGAATTTTTGCAATACCCATAGTTTTAGGCCGATACAGATTTTTTTTTTTTAACACGTCGGCCGTTTCCTACCAATGCAGGGTAACCCAAAAGAAAGAAAAAGCTTTCATTATCATTCAACACTTTCACCATACAGATGATATCAAAATTAGCCAATGCCCACTGATACAGATACTCTGTCACAGCCCTACTGATGAAGATGTAGTTAAAAGAATCTTTTGAACTGTGATGTCAGCACACTTCTGGCAAGACAGTAATTGAAAGAATGATGGCGATGATATTTCTTTTTTTTTTTTTTTTTTTTTTTTGGGGGTCACCCTACCTTGGTGTCTGATGGCCAGTATGTTAAAAATTTATGGAAGTTCTGGGTAATTGAAATTTATAACCATTAAAGGGTTTTCGTGTGTTCATATGAGACTTGGTGACCTAGTTTTACTTCATTTACTTGATGATGACATAAATTTATTATTCATTGAAATGTATCCTTGTATGGGATATCAAATAATTAAAGAGTCTTTTACTTAACCCGTAAACGGTCCAAATGTATATATACGTTCTCTCCCGTAGTGCCCCAACTTTTTTGAGAGAGAAAACAATCGTTTTACTTAACCCTTTGAGGGTTTCGGCCCTACTAGTACGGCTTATGACCCAGGGTTTTTGGCATACTAGTGCGCCTAAATTCTAGCGCCCTCAAATCAAGTGGGAGAAAGCTGGTAGGCATACATATGAAAGAATGGGTCTATGTGGTCAGTGTGCACAGTATAAAAAAAATCCTGCAGCACTCAGTGCATAATGAGAAAAAAAAAACTATGACCGTGTTTTTGGAATAAAACAGCGACTTTGCACTATATTTTCATATGGTATTTATTGTTGTATTCTAGTTTTCTTGGTCTCATTTTATAGAATGGAAGACATATTACAGAAATTGAGATGATTTTGACTGGTTTTACAAAGAAAAGTACCTTGAAATTGAGCTCAAAGTAGCAGAAATGTTCGATTTTTAACGAAGTTCAAAAGTAAACAAATCATGCCAAGCATCCAATACACGTCAACTGGTGAGTCTAATATTCTTTCACAAGTGTGCTGATATTATTTATACCATTTCTACACTAATGCAGCAGTCTGCATAACAGTAAATCTTCTATTTTTTGTGAGAATAAAAATTGAAAGTGGAAAGCCAAAGAAATATAAGAGGGCCTGGGGATGTGACTGACGAACAGAGGAAATGTTATTTTAGTGCCAGGAATGTCTTTCTTGTTTATTCTGGACCCTGTTTGGAAATTGGTATCTTTTGAAATTTGTGTGAAATTGGCAAAATTGCTAAATTCTGACCACTTTATTGGATAGTTGAAATCAATAAATGGGTAGTTTCTTGCACTCATTCAATAGAAAAAATGGAGTTCTAGAGAAATAGTTATGATTTTTGTCGACTTGTACACTGGAATTGGCCGAAAATAGGGCTCAAAGTGGGCAAAATCGCCGATGCGTAAACATCGTCGAGACCGCTAACTTCACGAGAGCATAATTCCGTAAGTTTTCCATCAAATTTCATACTTTTGGTGTCATTATAATTGGGAAAAGATTCTCTATCTTTTCATAAGAAAAAATCATTTTTTATTAAATTTGGCCGACCCTGAGAACAAGTCTCGGAGAGGGCCTGTCGACCCTCAAAGGGTTAATAGGAAAAAAGAGCATATGATACCCAGGCATCCCCAATTATTTTAATATGGCACACAGTGAGTGTGCACACCCATTCTCTCATGTCTAGGCAACTCAGGCTTATCGTGGCAATGTTGAATGTATGACAAAAAAAACGTATATATACGTTTGGGGCACTAGCGGTAAAAACGTATATGTACGTTTGGACCATTTACGGGTTAACCCTTTCAGGGTCCGTCCCGTAGATCTACGGCTTTACGTTCAGGGTCCAAACCGTAGATCTATGCCAAAATTCTAGCGCCGTCAAATTTAGCTCGAGAAGGCTGGTAGGCCTACATCTAAGAGAATGGGGCTGGGTGGTCAGTGTGCACACCATAGAAAAAATCTGGATCGCCCACGTGGCATTGTGGGAACGCCGGCAAAGTAACTTTGTTCATAGTGCCTGGCGGCAAGGAAGCTCTCGCTCCCCACTCACTCTGCGGGCGAATTCTGACTCTCCTCTTCACAACTTACAGTTCAAAGACTGATGGAAGTGGAGCCGAAGACGAATTCTATGGTTTTGAACCATATGGTACCATTGTACCATATGGTACCATATGGTACAATGGTGCCATGTCATACAATGGTATCATATGGTACAATGGTATATGGTACAATGGTACCATATGGTACAATATACCATATAGTACATTGTACCATATGGTACAGGGTACAGGGACCCTAATGGAAATAAATCTGTCTGACTTTTTTGGGTTATCCTAGGTTCTCCAAACATGTGCTGCTAAGTATGATATTCTATGTAACTTTATTTGTGTATAACTAAATAAACTTATGATGCACTTGAGTAAGTTTATTCAGGTGTACAGAAATACAATTGCATAGATTATCATACATAGCAGCATACATATAAAATCCTAGGATAATCCAAAAAAGTCAGGGTGACTTACTTCTATAGTTATCCCTGTATCTGTACCATATGGTGTCCTGTACTGTATGGTACCCTGTACCATATGGTACCCTGTACCATATGGTACCCTGTACCATTGGTACCTTACCATATGGTACCCTGTTACCATATGGTACCCTGCACCTTGGTACCTGCACCATATTATCCTGTACTGCATGGTACCTTTACCAATAGTACCATGTACCATCTGGTACCCTGTAACATATGATACCGTGTACCATATAGTCAATAGGTGTTGGTGGCATGAGACACCAGCCAAGACTGAGTGAGTGGCGACACAAGCTAGCTACTGACTCCACAGTTTCCGAGACAAAGTGCTTTGTCATCCACCTCAAGGAACACGTCAAGATCCTGTACACTTGTAAATATATAATAGAACATTACTAATATACAACATTTTTGCATATTTTTAGTGTAAACAACTACTGTAAACAAAATAATGAAAATATTAGTGTGTTTGTGTTGAATACAACAGTACCATATGGTACAATGAACCATATGGCATCATTGTATGGTACAATGTACCATATGTTACCATTGCATCATATGGTACCATTGTATCATATGGTACAATGTACCATATGGTACCATAAGGTACCATTGCACCATATGGTACCATTGTATCATATGGTACCATTGTACCAAATGGTGCCATTCTACCATATGGTACCAATGTATCATATGGTACCATTGTATCATGTGCCATTGTGCCATATTGTACCATATGGTGCCACTGTATCATATGATGCCATTGTACCATATGGTACCATTGCATGCTATGGTACCATTGCACCCTATGGCACCACTGTACCATATGGTACTATATGGTACCATTGTATCATGTGCCATTGTTACCATATTGTACTATATGGTACCATTGTCATCATATGGTGCCATTGTACCATATGGTACAATTGCACCCTATGGCACCATGTACCATATGGTACTATATGGTACCATTGTATCATGTGCCATTGTACCATATTGTACCATATGGTTACCATTGTATCATATGGTGACCATTGTACCCATATTGTACCACTGTACACCCTATGGCACCATTGTACCATATGGTACTATATGGTACCGTTGTATTCAACACAATAACTGCACTAATAATTTTCATCATTTTGTTTACAATAAACTTGTAAACAAGTTTTGTAAGCAATATAATGATAAACAAATTAGTGCAGTTATTGTGTTGAATACAATGAGTGTACACTATACAATATACATTATACTGGTCTCACAGGCCACAAATGTTATTAGAAAAAGAAAAAAATTAGAAAAGAAAAGAAAAAAGTATAAAAAACGTAAAATAAAAAAATGGGATTTTGCGGAAGTCACTGATGTTGCCGCCACCCGGTCATTTTGGGTCAACTTCCCGCCACTGTATGTCGGTAAGTACTGATCAGATAAAACTTTTTTTTGTCTTATTACCTTCACAAAAATATACTCTTTAATTCTGTAAGAAAAAATAATTTTTTTTTTTTTTCAAAATTTCTTGGACACTGGAGCACCACTTCAGATTTTGGCCTTGGACCCTGAAGGGGTTAAATACAAAATAATGAATCTGTTAAGTCTGTATGTATATTGAAATACACTCGTGTTAAAAGTAACTTAGTGGTCAATTATATCTTTGCCATGACCAGTTTGGCAATAATATGCTGTGAGGTTAAATCAGATGTGTAATGTTACCATGGTTGTTGAACCCTTTTGTCCGTGTCCGTGCCATAGATCTACGGCTTTGAGTTGAGGGTCCAAACCGTAGATCTACGCCATGAGCTCAGCTCACTCTGATAAGCTGTGAGCGGTAAATTTGGGTCTAGATATGAGAGAATACATCTATAATGAGAGAAAATACATAATGAGAGAAAAAACCGAGACCATAATTTTCG